CAACAGGATTAGGAACAAGCACATCTCAATGATCCAAAATGCCGTCGACGTCCACGTGGACAACCATGGTTGGAGTCAGCATTGACCTCCTTGATGGGAACTTGACAATCTCAGTGAAAGGTGCAATCTTGGAAGCGTGAAAGACTGAGGAAGTGCGCAAGTGACCAGGGATTCTAATCACATAGGAGGGACCATCTGAATCACTACCCACGATATCCAAGACTTCCCAAGGACCAAAATACTCAGGCATTAGCTTCCTAACCCAGACTCGTTCTCCTACATAAAATGTGGGACTGTCATCGATGTTTGTTCCCGTGGCTTCCTGAGATGTCTTGATATGCTCGACAACCTGTTGCAACAACTTCTGATATTGGACACTAAATTCAATGGTTCCAAGAGCTGCAGCTGGTCGGTTTTTGGGAAGGAGAAAGTCTAATACTGATATAGGCTTCCATCCCAATGCAGCTCATTCGGAACGACACCGGTGGTGTTGTGAACTGCATTGTTCTGTAGGCTGGCGATGCGAGGGAGTCATCCCAATCCGTACCGTGCGATTCATTTGCTCCACTTGGCCATTCGCTTAAGGAAGATTACCTGAAGTCATTTGGAGTTGGCTGCCGATTTGTCCAGTCGCTTTATTCCACATCTCGCTAGTAAAACGAACATCTCTATTGCTGACAATGGGCTTGGGCAGTCCGAAATCATGTACCTAGTTGTCCATTAATAACTTGATGTCATGCTTTGTCTTTGCAAACTCTGGCATGGCAACCAGTCTAGCATACTTGCTTGGTGAATCGATCTTCTATGACAAAGATATGTCTCTTGCCACTCTTGCTGGTAACGAGGGTATCCATGAAGTCCAGGGAAACGCTCTGTACCGGACCAGTAGGAACAACCAAGGGCTTGATTAACCCAAGCGGTGCTTAAGTTCTCGGCTTGTCCCATTGACAGACTCGACAAGCCTGTACGTAACGTTGCGCATCATCAAGCATAGACGGCCACCAGAAACGTTGTACCAGGTTTGCACTAGTCTTTTTGTAACCGAAATGACCTGTTGCATCATGACACTCTCCTAGAAACAAACTACACAAAGACTCACTAGATGGCACACACAATCTCTTGAACCTTGCCTTCTCAAGAGAAAAGTTACTCATCCACCATCACAAACTCATCAGATGTGGCCTTGTCTTTGGCCTCAAGCTTACGTATGATGTCCATCATGACGGGGACTTCCTTGTAGGCATCCACTATCGATTGTGATAGCTCGTCAGATAGACCAAACTCGGTTACCAGCGCACCCAGGTAATCCACCCTTCGTGAGAGTGCATCAGCAACCTTATTGTATTGTCCCTTCACATAGTCTAGTTTGAAGTCATATTGATCTATGACTTCAATCCAGCGTTTGAGTGTTTTTGTATTGTCCCTTCACATAGTCTAGTTTGATCTATGACTTCAATCCAGCGTTTGAGTGTGTCAGAGAGAGCTGGTTTGTCTTAATCCACTTGAGTGTTTGATGATCAGATCTCAAGTAGATGAATTTGCCCAAGGGATAATGTCTCCAATGGATTAGAACTTTGTATAGAGCGTAGAGTTCCTGCTCATAGTTGTGTCGCGCCAACCTCTTTGATAGCATCTCCTTACTCATATACTTGATCGGCCTTAACTTCTTTCATTCCTGTTGAGCCAACACTGCGCCAATCCCATATTGGCTTGCATCAGTGGTTACAATGAATGGCTTCTCCGGACCAAGGAGCATGAAAACCTTATGATGCATGAGAGCATACTTCAATCGCTTGAAGGCTCTCTCATAATCATCAGTCCATTTCGTCAAGGCGTGTCAGATCCGTCAAGGGGGCAGCCACCGTAATATAGTTCATCACAATATTTCGGTAGTCGCTTGTCATCCCCAAGAAGCACCTGACCTCCGTTAAACCGAGTCAGTCCCCAATACTAGCCAACTTCGCGTCTTCGGGCCTAAGTCCATCTACGGATATCTCATGACCCAAGTATAAGATCTTGGTGCGATACGTTTCGCATTTCTCCAAGTTAATCTATACTTGTGTTGTCGTAGGAGTCCAAGCATAAGGTCAACGTGTTGCGCATGCTCCTCTACAATATTACTAAAGATAAGGATGTCGTAGAGGTACACGACGATAAACTTATCTAAGTAGTCGTCAAATATCCTATTCATGCGTGTTGGAATGTGCCCGACGCATTGCAAGGCCGAAAGGCATCACAACAAACTCGTGCAGACCGTACCCGGTCTGAAAAGCGGTTTTGTGCTGATCATGTGGTCTAATGGCAATGTGATGGTAGTTGGACTTTAAGTCTACCTTAGTAAAGTAACTACATCCCTGCACCTTATCCAATAGGTCGTCAATGTGAGGCAGTGGCTTTGCGTTTTTAACAGTGATGGCATCGAGGCCTCTATAGTCAATGCACATCCTCTGTGATCCCCCTTTCTTTGGAACAAATAAGACTGACGATCCGTAGGGAGATGTGCTCGGTTGTGTCCAACACTTTTCTGTGAGCTCTTTCAATTGCCACCGAAGTTCGTCCAACTCGGTCGGAGCCATCCCATAGACCCTCCTCTTTGGCGTTTTACTGCCTAGATAATTTTTATGGCATGAACGATCTCCCATTATCACTCCCGAAGGCTCCTTAAACATATCAGGGTACTTAGCAACGTCATCTTCAATCTCTTAAGGCATTAAACGGCTCCGCTTTCTCAAAGACGAAGACCAGATACATACCCTACTCTTGGTTCCGTTTATAATAGTTATAAAATGCAGACGAGATACATACCCTACTCTTGGTTCCGTTTATAATAGTTATAAAATGCAGACGAGCACATGCAACCATAGGAGTTAACTACTGCTAGCCTTGTACTTAGCTGATCTAACGGTCCTCCCATCTAGCAACACATGCAAGAGCATCTTTTGGTCCCACTCAAATGGGCTTAGTAACCTCGAGGTAGTACATACCCAATAGCATGTCGAATGACAAGTCGTCGCTAATGAGGATGAAATCGTATGCTTAAGGTCCCCTCCTCCATAGGAGTAGGTGCAGACCATGTCCTTGACGTAGTTGTGGACAACCATGCGCTCCTTGTTGGCTAAGGTAAAACCCACAAATCTACTTGGTCGCTGCACCTAATCCCCTAAGCGCATCTTTCAACATAGTCGCGACTTATGAAGTTTTGCATGGAGCCATTGTCTACGAAGGCGCCACATTTGCGGCCACCTACCACTGACCTCCACAACAAAGTGCTTCCCTTTAGGACCTTTTGACATCGCCGCCCACGACTCACGACGGTCCCTTTCTGACCATTCATTTTTTAAGTCCTCTAAGGCTTCAAACATGTCTAACTAACAGCGTATCACTTCACAAAGTAGACGCAGCTATAACCTCTACTGGCCCGGCATGTTTCCTTGGGATGTGCTCGTAGAAGCACCACCCTGGGTGGAAGATCCGCCAACACCCAACGTGGGTGGGACCTTCTGAGACACCTTAGCATTCTTGCACTTTAGCTGCTGGTGCCCATAATGGTCGCAGTAAATGTAAGTGCCACGCGTGTACCGGTGTGAGGAAAACCGGGGAGGGGTCGCCTACCTGTTCGCTGAAGCCAAGGGCAACGGCGCTTGTCACTCGCCAAGCCCACTTCCGACGTCCTCAGCGACTGGCAGCGAGTGAGGGTTGCGTTTTTTCTGTTACGCTCCCTTTTCAAAGTTATTTCAAAAAAAAAAAAAAAAAACTTTGGTTGCCTTTTACGATTGTCACTAGCCCTTGGGCGATGTTTGCGGCCTCACGGGGAATTTCAAGGTTTGGGGATTGTAAATAAAGAAGGTATTTAAGGATGCCTCCCTATGGTTCAACGAGATTACAAAAAGAAATACATGCAGCAAAAAGCAGGGTTCTCATGCATCTGAATATCTGATCAGATCACAAGAGAGGATTGCGAAATGTATGGGAACATCTTCAGTTCAGATCTTCAGTGAGAGCTATATACTCTTGCCTTAAGAGTTCACTTTGAGAGATCGGGATGCGCACATGAATGTTAGGATAAGCGTATGCATGGACGCCTTATATCCGACCCCGTTCACCCATATTGTTCCCCCTTCATCAGTATCTTGCCTCGAATACCCAGTCAACTTTCACTCTGGCCCAGCAGCTCGGGCCCGACTAGTTCTCACCGCTCAATCAAGTCATGTTTCAATCGAGTTCCCTGTTGTCCTTTTCTGAGCACATACTCCCCTTTCACCCTTTTCTGGTCACACTTGCGGACACAGGAAGGAAGCAGCGGTTTTGAGAACTTTCCCCAGATGCAATCAATCATTTCACCGAGGCGGCTCATACAGTTGCTATTAGGAAGGCCGCAAGAGCCGATACCCCAGACTGATTAGATTAGACTCGTGAGCCTTCAACAACGGAACAGTCATCGAGTATCATGAGCATAAAAAAAAGAGAAAAGCAATAAAAGAATTCAGAACTCAATAAGTTTCACTTGCCCCTAAGGTCCTCGTTCCAAGCATTTCCACACATCTTCCAGTCAATTTCGATCAGTCCCACTGGAGGGATTTAATACGCTTCCTGTCTCGAACGGCAAGCTATGGCCTTCTTTGAACTGCTTAGGTAGCATGCCGTAGGCGAAGGTCTGTCAAGAGGTGAGCATTGACCAGTTCGACTTCACGTCCAAGCATATACCGGGCTACTCGAACAAGGCAGCGGATGCTCTCTCGCGAAGACCTGATCTTTGCGCCTTGGTGCACTCCACATTCGGCCTCGACGAGGACCCGCAACAGCATTTCGTAAAAGGCTACAAGTCGGATCCGGGATTGTCCACACTCTATGCGGACTTATCATCATATCAAACAGCCGGCAAGCAATTATCGCATTGTCGACGGCTACTTGCTTCTCCATACACGAGGCAAGGACTTGTTGTGTGTTCCCCAAGACCGCATCTTGCGCACTCGCCTCCTTGGCGAATACCACAATTCGCGGTTGGCGGGACCTTGGCGTCGCACGCACACTAGCACGACTCCGCCAGCGATTTCACTGGCCGGACATCATCAGCGACGTCAATCGGTACATTCAATCATGTGCAGTTTGCCACAGGAACAAAGGGCGGCATCAGCTCCCGTACAGCGAACTGAAACCATTGTCGGTTCCTCAGGAACAGGATCTCTCCATTGCTATGGATGTGACTTGTCCTTTCCCTCACGATCGCCTTGGCCATGATGGTATTCTCACGGTCGTCGACCGTTTGAGCAAGTACGCTCGATTTCTTCCATGCAAGTATCATGTGACGGCTCCCGAGCTCGTGCGACTTCTGCATACCGGCTGGTTTTGCAGCCACGGCGTTCCGGAAGACATCGTCAGCGACCACGACACTCGTTTCATGTCAGCCTTTTGGACAGCACTCATGGTGGAATCCGGCACCAGCATAAAACCAAGTTCCGCACGGCATCCTCAAACGGATGGGCAAACGGAACGTGCGCACCAGACTGCGCATATGATGCTCCGCACACTCATCCTCCCGGACCATCAGGATTGGGTTGACCGCCTTCCCGACATCGAGTTCGCCTACAACACTTCGGTGCACCCGGCGATTGGCATGACTCCATTCGGGTCGGCCGAGGAGATCCGGATACGGAAACCGACATCCAGATCGGGATGGAGGATAGGTGTGATCCGGAGGTCGGGGTCGGCCACAAATTTGAGATGGGGGGATGGAGGCGGGGATGTCGGGATAGGGGACAGGGGAGACAGAACTCGGAGGGGGATCGGGATGGGGATGACGACCAATTATACACGCACACACACATACACAAACACACACACACACACGCATACCCCCACCGATCACACGTACACATACAGTAACACACTCACACACACAAGCACATAAGCACACACATTCACATACTTGCATGGCGTCTGAAATCAGTTCTTTTCGGGTTTTTTTTTTTTTTTTTTTTTACTATGTCGGTAAATGAATCCAATTTGTTTATAATAATGATCTGTCTTTTTTTTCTTCTTTTTTTTAACGTTCACTTCTTTTCTTTTGTATTTTTTTGACCGTTTTTTTTTTCTTTTATGTTTTTTTTTTCCCGACACACACAGACATACATACTCACTCACACACACACATACACACACATCGACGCGTACTTGGACAGCGTCTGAAGTCAACTCTTTTCGTTTTTTTTTCTTTTTTCCTTTTTTTTTTTTACTCGGTCGGTAAATGAATGCAATTTGTTTTTATAATAATGATCTGTATCTTCTTTTTTTTTTTGTGAATGACATCTGAAATCGACTCTTTTTTTTTTTTTTTTTTTTCATGGTAACCGACCGGACGACCGGACCAGTTTCCAGACACCTCCAAACATTATGTAAGGATCCGGTGTCCGGTCCTGGACGTCCGAAACCATCCCCCCTAACGAAAAATCGAAAAAAAAAAAGGGCCGGCAAGAGCATTTTTCGTGTCCTCTGTGGCCCCGGAAAAATAATGGCCCGATTTTTGTATGTGTTTTCGCCCTACAGGACACAGGTCGAAGGCCGGACCCGCCACAGTATGTGCAGACTCAGGTGGGGTGGCGGGAAGCAGGGCCAGCAATTTCAAACTGGCCGTTTTTGAATCTCACAGGCGCGCTGTTTGGAAACCGCCAGCTGCTGCCCGTCATGTCCACCCTGCTGCCCCGCAGCCATCCACGAGGAAGCCGCCATCGCCGACGAAACAGCCAACCGCCACCAACGTCCAGCCCTCGCCAACGAACCAGCCAGCCGCCGCCAACGTCCAAGAAGCAGGTCAGTCTCTCTCTCTCTCTCTCTCTCTCTCTCT